TTCTTATGAGAATGGTGATGGTAATGGGAATGATAATAATGGTAGTATTGTGATTGCTGTTATTAGACAATAAAAATAATCATAGGATACACTTAGAAGAAGAGGATGGACAATTTCAGGTGGTTCTCATATCGGGTCCAGCTGGTCTCGGTAAAACAACATTGGCTGGTGTTGCGGCTCGGCAGTGTGGCTATCGAGTGGTGGAAATGAATGCGAGGTGAGCTGAGCCTCGATTCTTAACTCCAGTTCTGTTCAAATGTCATAAAATTTGCTTCTTCGAGCGTTTCTCTGCAGTTCTCAAGTTAAAACTCATAATATTTTATATTTTTGGTAGAAACATCAGTAAGCGAATTAAACACTGAATGTTCAGCTGAATAGTAATTGAAAATTGTTTCAATGATACGGCATAGAACATAACAACTGCGATTTGCTGTTGAAGGTGATGGCATTTAACATCGAAACATTGAGCAATTTCCAGTTGTGACTATGCATTTCTTATTTGATTCACTTACTGTGGTGTTAATTCAAGATGTATTGCAAAGAGAATGAATGCAGTTGAATTGTTCAATTATTCTTCATGTTTTGTTTTTTGTTCAAATGCAAACTGAACACTGCATAAACCCAAGCAACAGTGATAGCGTTTTGCTTTGACAGTGACGATCGAAATGTGGGCGATTTCGAGCGAAAGATTGAAGGAGCGTTACGTTCTGTGAGAACGTTGGATGCGGTTCGTTAATATTCAATTTATATTATGTTGCCTCTGAATAATGTGAAGAATATTTTGTTGTTCATGGACAGAAGAGAAGTGGCGAATTTCTATGTATACATGGTGTGATAGATTTTTACAATATTATGCTTGAAATCGTTCGATTGGAAGAAGTTGGCAATTGCACTGAATTTGGCAGTTGAATAAATTCACGGAGAAAGTTGAAACTAAAGTAGGATTGAACAGAATANGTCGACCGAATTGTTTGGTTGTTGACGAGATAGACGGCGCTCCAGTGGATTCCATCAAATATCTTTGCAAAACACTATCGGCCACAGGACGCAAAGCCATTCGACGACCAGTCATATGCATATGCAATAATCTGTTCGTGAATTTGTGTTGTTTCATCGTCGTCTTGTTTCCGATTTTGTGGCATTACTTTTATGGAAATTGAATGACATTCACTGATGTGAGCAATGCGGAATGATCGCAGTGAACATTCGGTCATTCGGATACAAATTATCTCAACAGAATTTGCTGCAAACAGTTTTATTTGAGCAAATTTTTACACATTTCATTGGTTCACTTTCTTTCTTATACTCGAAATTTACTCACTGTCAGTTTGAAACTAAATCAAGCGATTGTGAAAGGCTATTGATTGAATTAGATATCGCAACAGTATTTTGAGAACAAATTAAGGAGTTTGTGCTAATCGGTGAGCAATTTGATAATATTATTTGATAGGTATGTACCTGCATTGCGGGAACTTCGTTCGATAGCATTGGTGCTGCAGATGCCACATGCCGAGCAACGTCGACTTGAGGAAAGACTCGAACAGGTAGATGTGACTCGCGACTGACCTTCCTTCTCTAAGT